CCTCAGTAGCATTGCGAATCGCATCGGCTACAGAGCACAAATATTAAAATCCGGAAATACAAAATCCAGCGCACAACGGCTACAAACACTGGGTGACTGCGTCGGCTCACCATAGCAAGAACCCGCAAAGCGAAAACGCTTCGGCTGCAAGGCAAGTAAAAGGCGTGCATCGCATCGTCCACAGTGACGGAAACAAAACATCTTTCACTTCATAAGGGAAGGTTATTACTACGGCCAAAAAGTTATGAAGAAGCTCTTCGGCCCAACAAATGATAAAGAAACAGGCCAGTTTTCTATCAGAATTCACATCATCCGCAGGAGAGTGAAAGCGCATCGGCCCGCATCGAGGTTATGAGTCCTCAAGCGCGCTTCGTCTACATCAAATGAAGAAACCGCTCCATCCAAAAACAAAGCAGAAACTCTTCGGCCGCCAAACATCTTGAGCTCGCGCAACGGTCAGGCAGAAAGGAACAAATACTCCCTTTCGCTTCGGCTTCGCCTCAGCTCAGAGAGTGGGGGACTCCTGATAGAGTATATGGGCCTAGACCCCATAGCCCACATACTCAAGTCAACGATGACCAGAAAAGCGCCCACGTGGCCTCTTCGGCCCAGTGGGGTCCGCATCGGCCAGGACCAACCCGCCCCAGGAAACGCACCTGGACTTCCGGGTGCGCGTCGGCCATGGACCGCATCGGCCAGAAGGCATCGCATCGGCCAGACTTCGTCCTGGCAGAATACATCTCTCTACTTTACTTACTAAGTATTGTACACAGCCCATTAGTGGCCCTATTTCGCCCAAAGAAGGCATGATTATTGTAATGGGCCTCCTAAGCCCATGGCTAGGAGCCCAAATCCACATTTTTACCTATAAATAGACCCCTTGGGGCTAGTTATAGGGGGTTGAGAAATATAATTACTCACTTTCTCTCTCTAGCTCTCACTTCTCTCTAGAATTAATACCCTATCACTTATTATGTCTAAATCAATCATATTTTAGTATTGGAGAACCTTATTTAAGAAGGAAACCATGATAATCCTATTTGTACACTATCAATTTTTAAGTCATATTTAAGGAATTAACTCTATATCACCTCCTAAATTCTCTCCTCCAATGATGTAACCATTCTGAATCACTTCATTTTCAGCAGTTAAATTATTGTTTTTCTATGAGTTATCATCTTGAAAAGGACATTCAGAATCTGACTTATTTAAACAAACAAACTTTTTCATTGAACTTTTTTTTACTTAGCGCCGCTTTCTCTATTCATCTCCTTTTTTATTTATCCTATTCAGATTCAATCCTTTTTATTACACCTTAATAAAAATCAATCAACAATTAAGAAATCAAACAATCAACTATGAATGGAATCAATTAATAAACTAATCAAATAATCATATCAAACTAATCCGCTTTCGAGTGATTTTTTTTTTTGTAAAATTTTAAGAGAATGTTTTTAATCAAGTGTAGATTATGTCCATAAAATTTCAGTTTAAAATTCAATCGGAAGTCAATGAAATAAGTTATTAAACAATATGAGCCAAAATATGTATAAAACGTATTGTTTTTCAATAATTTATTTGACTGACTTCTAAATTGAACTTTAAACTGATTTTTTTTTACATAATCTACACTTCATAGAGAACATGATCATAATTTTCACCAACAAAATCATTCCGAAGAACTTCAACAAATTCCACCCGAAAAATTGTTAGTTTAGGGCTGAAAAAACAGCCTACTCACATCTATTACAAAGACCTAAACTTGGGCCTATTTTTTACCCAATTTTTTTGGGCCTAGGGCGCCCGCCCCGCTTGCACCCCCCCCCCTAGGGCCGCCCCTGACAATGTGTACGCACCCTATCGACATCTTTGTAAATCTTAGGGTGTTTTTAATTAAGCTGGTTTTTTTATTAGGCGCGATCTAGTCTTGTCTATTTAAGGTTGTTCCGATCTAATCTGAACTAGTTTAGTCTGGTTAATGTGGATCTCTGTGTATTTTATAATTGTCAAATTCTAGGGTATCTGGTTTGGTTTGCTTAAATCTGGTCTGATTTGATTTATTTAAGTTTGATTTGATCTAGTCTGAGACTGAAATAACTCAACTAAAACCATCCTTAATCACTCCTCGTTTATACTTCTTCCGTCTCTTAACTTTGTCAACTTTCCTTTTTTGGTTGTCCCATTAATTTTGTCACTTTCCCTTTTAAGTAAAGAATTTGTGATTCTAGATAATTCTCTCTCTGCACAAATCTAAATCACACAACTTTTACTTAATTAATCTTCATGTCAATCAAACTTGACAAAATTTTAAGGGACAGAGGGAGTATGACGTTAGATATACAGTTAAATTTAGAATTTGCCTTTGGGTAATGCATTGGAATTAGCTTAAGCACCATACTCCCTCTATTTCTAAATGAAAGCCACACTTTCCTTTTTTAGATGTGTCAAAACAAAGTCACACTTCCTTATTTGGTAAACAAATTTATATCAAAACACTACAAAACAATGCAAAACAGTATCAAAACAGTGTACTCTACAGTAAAATTTACCGCTCGAAAAATATATTTCCTTAATATGTGTCAAATCAAAGTGTGACTTTCATTTAGAAACGGAGTAATTGATAGTGCTTCGGCTAAAGAGGTACGGAAAATGTTGCATAGTAAAAGTTAAAAAAACCAATGCACAAGGTTTTCGAAAAAATGTTTTTCGAAAAATTACTCCAAACTCTAATGCTCTGTTTGGATAGAGTGAATTTAAGTAAACCTAGTGCAATAAAGTAAACCTAAGTTTTAATAAGGCTAAAGGGTCAAATGGGCCTTTGTACCCGTTCGGAATGCTCAATTCGCACCCTAAACTCTAAAAAGCTCCAAATCACCCCCTGAACTTGACAAAAAAGTTCAAATATCATTTTTTGCAGGTAAACGTCAGGTCACCGCCATGTCACCCAGTCAGATGCCAACCGTGCATCCCACGTGGAAATTTAAGGGGTCAAATAGGCCCCTGAACCCGTCAAAGTTGTTCAATTTGCCACCTCAACCATTAAAAAGTGTCAGAATTGCAAATATATTTAAAGAATAGAAAATACAAATATAAAATAAGATACAAGTCGAAAGTATAAAATATGGACATGCTATTAAATAATATAATACGGATTTATTTACAATCTCGGTAAAAGCATATAAAATAAACCAAAATAAATTCATTAGAACTATTTTGTTATTTTAAATCTAATTAAAAAAAAAATAAACAATACATACATGTTTTTACTAATTAAAATTAAATATGTTTTTTGTGTATTATATGTAGTAACGGGTAATATAAAACATATTTTGTTTTTCTATTTTACAATTTATATTATGTTTATATTTTAGAGTTGTACAATTACACACACATGCATAAATGTATGTGTATATATATATATATATATATATATATATATATATATATATATATATATATATATATATATATATACTTCGTATTATTTTCTTCTAGAATTATATACTATACTTCGTAGTGCATGAAAAGTATAATACGAAAATAGCTACTACATTTTATATTATGTATTTAAAAATAATTTATTTTTCATTATATTTTGGAAAAATTGATAGTAATAATCCCAACTATTGGCGGTCCGCTCATAATAATCCCAACTATTGATTATTACAGAATAATCCCAACTTTAGGGACCTTCCGCCAATAATGGTCCCTATGAATAAATTCTTGTAGTTTCTAAAGTGGATGAGATGAGATATAATAAGTAATCCCTATAAATAATCTCAACTTTTAATTTTTGTGCTTAATTTTTATTTAAAATTCACTTTTTATAGAGGTAATATATGGTCATGGACCATTATTGGCGGATGGTCTATATAGTTGGGATTATACAAAAATAATCAATAGTTGGGATTATTTTCAGCGGATCAGCAATAGTTGGGATTATTGTTTTCAATTTTTCCTTATATTTTTATATGTTTAATTTACCAAAAAATCTAAATAGTTTCTTATTATTTTATAAATAGACATCTATATTTTATATTATGAACTTGTATAATATTTTATATTTGTATCTTCTATTTTTTAATTTCTTATTTTTTAATAGCAATTTTGACATTTTTTTAACGGTTGAGGGGGTAAACTGAACAATTCTGCCGGGTTTAAGGGCCCATTTAACCCCTTAAATTGCCACGTGGAATGCATGGTTGGCATCTGACTGGGTGACATGGCGGTGACCGGACGTTTACCTACAAGAAATGAGATTTGAACTTTTTAATCGAGTTGAGGGGGTGAATTGGAGCGTTTTAGAGTTGAGGGGGTGAATTGAGCATTCCGGACGAGTACAGGAGCCTATTTGACCCTTTAGCCTTTTAATAAAAACTAGGTTAACCTAAGTGAACCTAGGTTTATGCGTAAAATAGTGTTTGGAAATAAATAAGGTGAAAGTAGGTTAATGGAATAAATATTGCTTACATGAACGTACTCTAGCTCATTTTATGTTAACCGAGAACTTAACCTTCAAAACCCCCCGTTTCGGAGGTTCTTCAATTTAAGGTGTTTCTATGTTCTCGTGAGTTAAGTGAGGTTAACTCATAACCTAGATTCTTGTTGCAAAAACACAAACAAACAAGGTTAACTAAAAATTGAACCTGCAATAACTTATGTTAAGCTCCAAACAAACAGAGGCCATAATAGTATCACAAAATGTTTGAAATCTTCCACGCTTTTCGAAGAGTTGAAAGAATTGCTTAAACTTTTTCTATGAATAGCTAAACAATATTTAAACAATTAAATATATTTTATTAATAAAAAATTGTAATGATAAAATAGCTAAAATGGTGTTCTGCAACATCAATTTATTACACAATTCAACAAGTGAAAACTTAAATTACATGTTTTTTACAAAAAATGATTAGTAAACTTCTGCAAATGGTTCTAATTTCCAATGTTTAGTTTCCAATCATGGTAAACTTACATATTAGTTACCAATCTATTTTAATTGACCTGTTGAGCAGCCTTCCCCGCATTTGTACAGATCTAAATTCTAACAAGTAACAACTAAGGACAAAAGTAAGTTTTCCCATCCTAATAGAAGTCATTGCTTACCTTTCACGGACCCTTATATTAATACATGACAAGTATTTATATATTGATATACTGTCATTACATGACCAAACATTTATAAACAATGTGAAGTTTAGTAAGAAGGATCAACACTAAAAATGAATAGCAACCTCTATTGCCTTTGCCAACTCAGGGAAGAAGTGCGCTTAAACGAGAAGATCTGTGGCCATTGTTTTGACCATCCTCTTTACCTGCTTTGCTGACAGACCAATCTCTTGCAAATCTTCAAGCTACAGGGCAAAAAGATTACAATTATATTTTGATAATAAATATGTGCAAACAATGATAATAACAAATAAGGTAATTTCAGACAATGTTCCTGGCACACTGCACACTGCACGTTCTTACTGTTTTGAAATGTTCAGGAGATTCCTGACGAAGCTCGAGGATGTTTGTAGCTCTTTTCTCTCCTATGCCCTGAATTTCACACAATTCAAGAACATTACAATTAGGGGGTAATGATGATGATGATAAATGTCAAATGAATACATAAATAAATTACCTTGAGTCGCTTCAATTCATCCCTATAAATAAAAGAATATACATGCAAATTAGAAACAGAGAAGCATGATAATTATATAAATGAAAGAAATGCTCCCCACAGTTCCGTTCGCTTTTCACCGTTTTTTTGTAGTATACGAAGAAGGGTATAATGATGAAAAATGAGAAATAGTTATTGATAACAAACTGGTTAATCTCTACATTTTTCACATTCACCATCAAGAAGTTTAAGATCTTTTTGGATGGATGGTTTTGGAGGGATGACTTTAGATGGATTAGCCTATATATCACATCTTGATGTACATTACAGATTTTATAAAGGATACAACAACTACAACATTCAAGTCCTAATCTCAAAAGAGTTTGACATCAGAGTATGACTTAGATTTTTAAAGGATGAAACAGAAAAATGATATATGGGCTAGTATGACATAGTATGACTTTAGATTTTTTAAAGGATGAAAGAGGAAAATGATATACTACGTATGATCGTAGTATGACTTAGTATGACTTTAGATTTTATATAGCACTCCAATCAACTTTTATTCATTTTTAGAAATATTTAAAATATCAACTGAACCGTCCAAAGCATACCCTCCACACCTTCTATCTAAACAAAAACTAAAATCAGGGAACGGATGCAGTAGTAGGGGGAGTGTAACAGAGAGAGAAAAAGGAATAATATACTCACTTGCTGGCACTATTCAAAAATTTAATACATTCTCGAGCAAAGGAAGCCTATACAAGCAAACACAAAGAAATGCACAAAAGTTATTAAAACAATAAATACTTCACTAAACTAATTAGAAGTGTGGTTGGAAATTAACTTGGTATTATTCTAAGTTATAAATACTTAGTATAAATACTGTAAGAAAAAAACAATCACATACCTTTACTTTAGTATTATTCTCACTAAATTCCTCCCAAGGACTATAATACTTGGTCATAAACAATTTCTTATTATCACTAACACCAAACTCATTTTCAGCAACTGGAGTTTTGGGTTCCACTGGGTCAAGAAGAGCCAATGCGTGGCTTCCCTCTGGCAATTGTATACCCAGTGGAGGAGTGAAAGCCTGCAACTGTTTTAAATTATTTGCTAATGCTCTAAGTCTTTCACTTAGTAAGGGAGACCCATCTTTGTTTGTGTTAAAACTGTTGTTCTCCTTCTCGTCAATGTCAATGCCACCACCTGTAATATGGAAGTTATATAACCAGAGAAAAAGGTCTAATGATTATTGGCAAAATTATGAGTAAATCAGTTTACCTTGTCCACCTGTTAATCCTAATGCTTCCCTCCTATGAGTGGGTGAAGTAATTTTCACCTCTTGAGGACACTCCTGATAAATTTAAAATAAAAAAGAAACTCATATATTGTATTCACCTTTTGTACATGGTCTAATCCTGAAAACCTTGCCAAAGATAGTATTTTTAACTCTTTTATCATCTCTAGTCCCGGTTTTGGTGATCAGTCATTGCATTCAATATCACCATACATATCACATTTTACATAGAAAAAGTAATTTTCAGATCATGAAGAAATTCCTTAGAAGTTTTAAAAAACTCATAAATTACTCAGGGAGAGTTATAGCTTCTTACTGTATTATATGACACATCATGTTTCCATCTTTTGGACATGGTTTAATCTTGAAAACACTGCCACGATATTATCTTACAGATCACATTTTTACATTCAAGTTTTCAGAGTGGCAGATTTGAATTATCAAGAGAGAAAATGTTGAAAAACATAAAAAGTGTCTACATGATCCCACCTAAAGATGCTTTATAGTACCTCTAATACGGAAGATGTTTATCTTATCTCTTTTCCTTCAATGTATCCAAAACCAAAAAAAATCAGAGTACCTGCTACCATGGTATGACCTATAATGTGCATACCTCTAATACTTTACAACCGCCAAAAATTTCGAATAGCCGTACCACACAATTTTATGTTATATTTATCTTCTATCTTTCTTATGTTCTTTATCGTATATTCATCATTATCTTTATCTTATCTTTTTATCTTAACTCATCATCATCATCATTATCTTTATCTTATCTTTATCTTTATCTTTATCTTATCTTTTTTATTATCTTTATCATTATCTTTATCTTATCTTTTTTACCTTAACTATCTTTTTATTTTTCTTATATTTCTTTTCTTTTGGGCTCAGACTTCAAAAACTGGTGGGAATAAGGCTTAAATGTTGTTGTTGCTGCATGATAATAAAATGAGTTTGAAAAACTATAAAAAATAAAGTTATTGAGGACCCTAAAAAGGTTTCAAATGAAAATTTCTCTAGCATTTTTTAGTTTATGGACCCTAAAAAGGTTTCAAATGAAAATGCCCAATACCTCCTCTTTATTTAAGGAAGACTTTATTGAGGAAAGGGTGTCTTCTGGAAGAAACTCAGATTCTGTGACAGTAGAATTATTCAGAGGGACCTCCTCCTGCATCACAACCAATGTAAAAAAGTGATGCAGCAATTAAGCATCCAACAGGTTAGAACATTGAATATCAGGGTACATGATATATAAGACTTTTCAAAATATAGCATCCAATACCTCTTTACACAAGGAAGACTCTGTTATGAAAGTACTGTCTTGGAGATGCATAGACTTAGAAGCTAAAGAATCATCTAATGGCACTTTTTCCTGAAATCAATTAAAAATAAGAAAAAAGGTTAGTGAAAAAGAAACATTTCCAGTGTAAAATTTAGATACACATAGCCTTAATGCTTTACACACAATATAGAATGTACTAATTCAATGTTTTAAACCATGATGTCAAGAGAATAGATAATTGCTTCAATGATGTAAAAAATTGATAATTTATCCATAAAGAAAGGGATAAGCTATGATGTCAAGAGAATATACTAAAGACAGGGTGTTATCCATAAAAAGCCCACACACATTATAGAATATACTAATTCAATGTTCTAAACCATGATGTCAAGAAATAGATAATTGCTTCAATAATGTAAAAATTGATAGTTACCTTCTTAGAAGTTGTTGCTTTGCCAGCACTGAATAGCTTCCTTAAAAAAACGAAACACATATTTTTATCAGGGTACATGATATATATGACACAGATGATATCAATTGATAAAGGGGGCTGACTCTACCTTCCATTCAACAGGTTAGTGCTTCTTTTTAAAGATAAATTATGACCACCCGTATTTTGCTTTTTCACACTTGATGTGGGGATGACTCGTTGCTTATCTCGGTTGGTTGAACTGTGACATTTTGTGGTAGAGTTCCAAATTGCAATCCTGATGTTTTCACATGCTCGTGAAGCCAAACTTACAGTGTAGATGGTGTCTTGGCAAAAGAGTGGTTTCTGAAAACATACACATCACAACTTCGAATTATTAATAAGTAATAGCCATTACACCATAATCTTTATGGCTAAACCTAATGGAAGGTTGATATGCCGCATTACAAATAAACAGACAATAGCAATATGTGCACCATGCAAGCAAGCATCAGCGTAAAGTTGTTTCCCCCCAGAGAATCCTTTAGCATCCGAGTGAGTTTGTTTTCTCGATATGGTACATGACTGTCATTGGTGTTGAGTGCAAACACAACATTCATTATGGAAAGGAGGGACCTGTTTATCCTAGTGCTTTCTGCAAGTGCTGTTCCATCTTTAGTACTACTTCTAGAATCCTCGTATCCTGGAAAAAAGTATTGTGTTACTGTTACATACTTACATATAAGTCAACCGATAATACAAACATTAAAGGTCTGTTTCAAATTCTGCTAATGAGGAAAAGAAAATGGGGGGTTGAGAATTTGGAAGAAAACAATATGTGGAGAAAAATAGAGCATTGGTTCAAATTCAACAAACTTATTTTTTGAAACTTTTTCAAGCTCATTTTATAAACTTATTTCTATCATATACTCTAAGAAGTATAAATATTTGTAAGATTTGTAAAAGTATTAATTATATTTAGTTTTCCTTTGAATTTTATGATCTAAAACCCCACAGGGAAAAATGACTTACCTTAGCAATTTGTTTTTCTTTCCATAACATTTTCCATAACCCACACATACCCTATTTATATTGAGAACATAATTTGCTTTCTAGTGTAAAAAAAATTACCAGCTAAGTCAATAAAGTTTATCACACCCATAGGTTTGTCATTCTGGTTTCCTTCAAGAGATGAAATGTTTACACTCAAACCCGTATGGCTCCTTCTCAACAATGCAACTGATGTCCTCTGTGGTTGTTTGGATGATGTTTCCTTGCAAGAATATATATCTAGGAACTCTGATATAGACTTTATTGGGACCTAAAGGTGAAGACAAAAACAATGTTAACAATGTTAAACTTCTACTTTCAAAACAAAGCATTCATTTATCTCAAAGATGCTTGCCTGAGAAAGTCCTCTAAGTTTCACCCTGCCTTGAGAATCTTCAAATACATGTACCTCATTTTGATTTGGATCTAAAAGATCATATGCACGCTCTTGAAACACCTCGAAGAAAGATATGTACACTTTCTTTCCAACTTCCTCTGCTCTTGAAAGGATATCACAAATTGCAGAAGTAGCCAAACCCTACAAAAATACTCCAAATAAAACTTTATAAAACCAATTATGTGGATTAAAAGGAGGCTGGTAGAGAGAGAGCTAAATTGTCCATGCACACACCTGAACAGTACAAGTTTTGCCACTGCCTCTAGCTCCATATGCAATAACTGTAGCACTTTTACCAGTGAAGATATGAGAAATAGCAGGCTTTATCTCTTTTGAGAACAAAACATCATCTTCTCCTTGCTCATAACAATAATCTAGTTCATAGGTATCTTTCCGGCTGCAAAAATAAACAGTAATCTCTTAGCCAATTACGACCTCAAATGTTGGACTCAAGCTCAAAAGTGATGCGCAACAAATTAGCTCAGGTAAAAAATAAACTTCAAATTAGAAAAAAAAGTAGTTTACAGTAAGGTGAAATACATTGCAGGTAAATCCTGGACTCGATACACCGAGGATAAGTAGATAATTGAGGAAAAGTCAATATCTACTCTATAAATAAAATTTAGCAACAATTACGTAAATTTCAGTCACGGATTAAAATCAATGGCAAGTAAACTCAAATTCTACTTAGCATAACCCCAATTGCAGCTTGAATTAACATGACTCACAATAGCACAACAGCGAATTACTAAGAATTGATGTTGATTGATTAATTAATGAAACTTACCTGGTTCCTTTTTCTCCAAACAAGATAGAGGTTTTTCCAGATGGGTCGTCATCTCGCGGTTTGTGAACAGTAACCCATGGCTTGGAATTGCTGAGAGACCCTAACTCTTGATCTGAGAAGTTTCTTACTTTGCCAACGATCCGGACCTTTCTAGACGGGTTCGAGCCGGCGCTGAGTTTGAGCCGCCTCAAATCTGGCGTAGAGGAGTCCATCAAAGAACAGAGAAAATGGCTAGAGAATTAGATATGAATTCGAGTTTTTGCGAATCTACTACAGAGAAGGTAGATTATTTTGGGAGAACAATACAGATGTATTGATTATTTTGGGAGTATAAGGTAGCCGTTAGGCGTGTTTGTTTTCAAATTCAGTGCACTGGCGCTCTGTGACTAGGCTAGAAGTGAAGGCTTTTATCTCCTGGGACAGGGAGTAGAAAAGAAATGCGCACCATACGGTTGGGAAAAAATAACTATAGACGGAAAGCTTCTGCAGCACGATTTTCGTGGGTGAGGATGGGCATCGGGCTCATGCCGGGCCGTGATGTAGAGGGAAAATGTTCGGATAGAAATTTCAAGAAAACTATTTTTGTTTTCTAAGTGTAATATTTTTATGATTAAAAGGGGGATTTACCTAAATGAGAGTAATTATAATATTAATTGCCAAGATAAGGCCAAAGTTTAACAATTCCCTAAATAAGACTTACAATTTGCAGTTGGACAAAAATATCCCCATGCTTGACAAAACGGGTGCCCTTGACAAACCACCTGACAGGCCGCCTCCGGCCGCCACCGACCACCGCGGGCAGCCGCCATAGCTTCAAAAATAGCAGCCTCTGCATATCTGACCGGCGCCCGATCTAGGGAGGTGGCGGCCGGGTCTACGGTGGCGCTGATCAGATATGCAGAGGTGACTATTTTTGAAGCTATGTCGGCTGCCCGCGGTGGTCGGTGGCGGACGATGGCGGCCGGAGGCGGCCGGTCAAGTGGTTTGTCAAAGGCACCCGTTTTGTCAACTTTGGGGATATTTTTGTCCAACTGCAAATTGTAACTCCTATTTAGGAAATTGTTAAACTTTGGTCTTATCTTGGCAATTAATATTATAATTACTCCTATTTAGGTAAATCCCCCTAAAAAAACTGTAATATTTCTTCCCTTTTTCAAAAACCGGAGAAATACAAACAGGAAAACATATTTACTTGTTTATTTTCAAAATTGAAAAAACGAGATGTCTTTGATTTTCTTTCTTAAGCTATTTTTTCGGTGTTTTCTAAAAGGGTAATATTTTTAAGACCACATATATTTTTGGGAAAAATGCTATATAGCCTAAAGAAATAGGCCCAATAATTTTTAGCCTTAAGAAAGGCTATTTAGTTAATTTTTGTTAATCAATAATATTAACTTAAACACACATATTTAATTATGTACATGCACCCAATTTTCTCTATATTTTTTTAGATATATGTAACGGTGTATGTTGAATAATACTCCCTCCGTCCCCTTTTAAATGTCTCAGAAGAGGGTGACACGAGTTTTAAGAAAAGTTGGTTTGTGTGGTTGATATTAATTGATAAAGTAAAAATAAAGTAAGAATGATTTTTAGCCTCACAAACTTTACCAAATAAGATATGAGACAATTAAATAGGGACATCCCAATATGATAAAATGGGACATTTAAAAGGGAACGGAGGGAGTATATTTTATTAATTAAATTAGGAAAATTAATTTTCCCAGTTTTGTTTTCTTAACTTACTTCCGTTATCACAATTTTACCCAAAATAAGTTTCTATTACTAACTCCGATCCATAGATCATGAAATAGATACTTGGCTTAAAAAAAGTTCCCCAATTAATATGAGTTTAAAATAAAGAATATATAAAATTTTGAAAAAATAACATGTTTATGCATTTTAAGCTATAACCGCATCATACGTATGTTTTAACTTTTTTTGGAGGAGAGATGCTTATCTTGATATCACAACATAAGCATTCAGAAAGGGATGAAAACGATATAAAGACCATAGACAACTGTCTGCCCTCGAACCAGGTTCATAGTTAATCACCTTCGGAGAAACAATACAACTCGTTAATCCTATAACGGGCTTACATGAGCCAAATACAGATACAACAGAACTTTTATTCCCCAAACCTAATGGAAGAGTCTTACAACAAAAAAAACAAAACCAACATAAAGGAAAACAATCTGATAAATTAAAATAACAACAAAAATAACAATAATGTAAAAAATCATTCTCCATCTTCAAGTGCACCACCACCCAAGCAAATGGCCTATCACGCAACATGAGATATGTTGGCGGATCTAGGGTCTAGACCCGTCTCCTCCCTGTTTTTTGGCCTATCCAGTGTCATACTCTCCTAGCTGGACCATCCTGTTCTCCCTCCTCCTAGATCCTCTTGCGCTTCTGCTCACCCGGTGCCTCCTCTGAACTCGCAGAATTCCCCTCCTTAGTGGAGCTGGTTCCAGTTCCCATAATAGTCTTTTTCCCGCTTTGACCTCGTGTTCCCTGGCTATCACTCTTCTAATGTGTTCATGTACCTATACTTGAGGAGCCCTCAACCAACCACTTATTTCCTCCTGTAGGACTAGTCTTCCCCCCTTCCCCAGCTCTAAGCTGAACTCCATAAGATTTATCTAACAAAATGTTTTCACCCTCATACACTACTGGGCAAAATTTATCAGAATGACCAATAACTTCACAGATAAAGCAAAAATTTGGGAGCTTTTCATACTTGAAGTCCACCCAATGGCCAATTCCCCCTTTCTTCAAAGTTGTTCCTTTTTTCATGGGTTTCCTTATATCCATATAGACCCTAATACGCATATAAGCCTCCCATTTTTTTATTGAATTGGCTTTTATCAAAACTAATAATAAATTTTCTTTTATACTTACCAATCTCCTAGTTGATCCTAGCTAGATTCATAAATCCATAAGCAACATTATGAACTTGAGCCTGAAACTCTGCCTCATTCAAACTAATCTTAAGAGGGATATCTAAGTCCTAATCTCTTTAAGGATTAATAAATTTCTCTCAAACAACCACGAACTGCATCCAACACACGCCTCATATCCAAACTATGGTAAAAAGTAAAGATATACATCTTTTCGCCAATTTCCTTAATTGACACACCTTTAATCTTTCGATGCATGAGTATCATACCCACCACCGGAAACGCCCCCCTTCCCCTCACCTGCCGTTGCTGCCTCTTCTTCCTCATCATCAAAGATCAATTCCTCGTTTTCCTCTCCTATTGCCATTTAATTGTATTGGTTAACAATATCTTCCATCGAAAGAAAACACATTTGTAGTCGCCGATTAGCTCTAGTCGTAAACCTCCAGCCGCCGACCTCCGCTAGCCCACAGCACCCTCGATTGAGCCATCGTCACTCTGCATCAACATCGTCGCAACCCTCCTCCCCCTACCACTCGTGCAAACCACCGCCTCTCGGCGCCGCTCCCCGGTGAACCCAATAGCACAGAAAAATCCTAGCGGCGATGTCTTGCCCTAGAGAGAGACATATGTTTTAACTTAAAAATTGTAAAAGTACTCATTTGATTGTCAGGCTTTGTTCGTGAACATGAAACGATCCAATTTCATATGTCTCAATGGCAACAAATGCATGAAGCTCGATAAACTATTGCGAAAGCAATTTGACATAATATAATGTTTGTGATGTCAAAGTATTATTGGTCTGTGATCTGTTTAAGTCTGGTGTGGTCTGTTAAATATTTGATTCATGTGCATTTTATAACTGTCAAAGTTTGGTCTAGTCTGGTCTAAATTGCTCTTGTTTGGTCTAGTCTTATCTGGGCCTGAAATAGGTCCAGGTAAAAATATTTTTACTAAACTTTGTTCATGGATTATCATTTATGTAATATTTCATCTTATTTCATATGTTTCTAATTACGAGTACTTTAATTTGCATTATGCACACATATTAATGGTTTAACGGTATCAAGTAATAGTTGTCATTTTTACGTCTTGGGACTTCGGTTCAACCGGGTTTCAATTCTTCAATATATATACTTACTTTATGATTTCGAAAAATGAAATAAAAAAGAGATGAAATTTGGAAAATATGTGTTCAGATTTGAACAACGGAAAACTGGAAAATAGAAATATAAAACAAAAACAAAAACTAGAGAAATGATTAAACGGACCGTAAGTAACTCCCGCGTTGCATGGTTAGTGATTATATACTACATATTATTCTCTGTCATAAGGAACTTTATCAAAATTCTTTATTTAGCTGTTAAAGAAATATGTGCTTAAAGTTATTTGTCAGTTGAAGGAAATTATTATTACTTGACACCACTCTATAGCAGTCTAAATTTGGTCTAAATTAAATCAGGTTTAATGTTGGATATAAAATTTGACTTCTGACATATTCCTCGTCTCTTGAAGATCTTCTTGTATCCAATGCGATTAAGAATTTAAGATCATATTTTATTAAAAATCTAAAGGATGTTTATTTGTGTCGAGCTTGAGTAACTTGAAGGTTTTTAAGTAATCCCATTTGATACCTCACATTTTTTTGGGATCCGGAACCTCTGCCTTGCTTTGCAGCAAGGTAGGGTGTCCAACCTATTAGAGTCGTCCGATCAAAAAATCAACGACCGCAGTTTTTGGAGGACCGCATCTCGAGGAGCCTTCTTTGTCGTCCGGCCGGCCGTTGCCGCAAGGCACCCCTGCCGTGCTATAGAGGATCTCAATCCATTTTTTGGGTTTAGTAGTCTTAAGTTTTTAACTCTTAGCAATCGGTTTTTTCATAAAAAAGATACTACATTATTTTTTATATCTTGCATTGAATTAGTTAGTAACAAGAAAAAGTTTAGTACAAGTACTTTTCTAAATGAAATTGTTGGAAGATTGATTAGGAATTTTTCACACATTATTATTTTTCAATATCCATAGAATATACGAAGTACTATCGTATGAAAAATCAACAAATTGCGAATTGAGAGTTGAGACATTTTGACCAGTTTGAGGCTCACCAAATGACTAAATAGACGAATTGACATGAGTTTGAGTAGAATTTCATTCAACAGACGAATTTTGACCTCCAAGTTTTAACTAGTTCGAGGCTTCGAGCTGAACTTCAAAGTCTAACTCCTCTAAGGATCACACATTCACACTGTTGGACTGATTGTTGAACTTCAATATTCTTTTACTCATACTACCAAAACCTATTGGGGATGTTTTTACTTAGACTGAATTCAAACCCATGAGAGACTAGATCAGACTTAAAACATATCATATCAAACCAGACTTCGACATTTGTAAAATAAGCAGAGATCATACATCTATCAGATTAGAAAATTCCAGCCCAATTAATATACTCATGATTGAAGATCGGACCTAAAGAGATCAGACCAGACTTAAATAGATCAGACCACACCAGATTCCGATAGTTGTAAAATAATAGAGCCACACATCTACCCAATTACAAACATCTAAGAAATGAAAGCGTTTAAAACCATTCAAAGTTCAATAATTTGTTTTCACGGGCTTACTAATGGCTAGTTTTGTATCTTTGCCCCTTCCAAAACTTAAAGGAAATGTGTGCTACTAATGGCTCATTTGAGTGTACTATACTACTCCCTTCGTCCCAAAAAGGTCAACCAAGGTTGACTTTCACGTGGATTAATAAAGTAAAAATTGTGTGCTTGAAATTTGTGCAGAGGAGAGAGAATTAATTTTAGGCACATATTCCTTACTTTAAATGAAAATGACAAATCTTTTTGGGACATCCAAAAAAGGAAATTTGGCCTACCTTTTCGGGAAGGAGGGAGTACTATTTAAATAATTTCAAGAAGAAATGTTTAAACGAGCGTATCAAATTATATACTAGAAATATGTAAAACATACAAAGTGGTTTGGATTAGAATTCCAAACAATATGATCTGAAATTGTATTTAAAGTATATCAAGTGTTCCTTTCAGAAGTATTTTCACACCTGTTTTTTAAAAAGGGAAAAGAAAGTTAAACTAAGCATGTAGTAGGCTTCTAATATTTCTTTTTCTTACGTTTTGTGTATATACATACAAAATTCAACTTCCAGAGGTGCAGCTTAAGTGTACCAATTTGGCACAGCTACAAATTTTGAACAACTTTACACAGGCTGATCACATGCACATTAAAAAGCTAATTTTAGGCAATAATACGTAAACATCAGATATATTTGAACCGGTTAGTCGTGTAATATTTATCACATTACTCATCTAATAGCATATCAGACTGCACAGATCTTGAATCCTTTCTGGAGAGATGTCGGTGTAAGGGAGAACTCTGAAGTTTCCATTCTCTGAGCATGTTAAAGTCAACTGCTCTAAGTTGATCATGGTCTACAATCACAAACATTTCCAAGTGTCAAAGGTGTTACGAAATGCAGGCCATGGAAGTCACATAAAATTGTGTCAGGAACATACTACAAATCTAAGGGTGCACTTGGTAACCATGAATTCTGCTTAAATGATTAAAGTGGCTGGAATTGTTCACATTGTAGCCAAAATGGCTATCTGGCAGAATGAGCCGAATCATCATCATCATTACCCCAGTGCCACAAAGAATGAGTTGAATACTCTAATAAAATTCAACCAACGTGTATGCATGTGTGTATATCTCTAAAATAGTACGTAGTATATGAAAATAAGGGCTGAAGTGTCAGTTTCTTTCATTAGCCATTTCAGTAAAAAAATTGACTTATGCAATAATGCTTTCTATTATGGCCGGATCACCTAGCATAGTCAAATATGTTGATGCTTGATAGAAAATATGACTCATAAAGTTGATATGCAGAAAAACTTTCTTACCAACGGGTAATCTAAAATTCAAATAACAGATGACCAAAGATGCTAGTATGCAGTAGCGGCTAGTTGCAGGACTAAAGCAACAGTTGTGCTTCATGGTTATTAGGTCATTAGTTTGCAACTTGACAAAGTGTCAAGTCTCAATCTCCTTTCAGATATCTGTAGTTTTATACTTATTGTCATATAGTCTTAAGAGAGTGTTTGGGGATAAACTATTGTATAGATTCTTTTATCACAAGTATGTTCTCAACTAAACACTTATAGGGATTTATAGAAAAGCATTAATATACTGCCTTCTTAAATAAGCACTAGAAGTAATTTTTTTCCCTTAAACCACTTTTTCCGCTTTTTTATAGTAAATTAAACTTCTTCCTTTAAGAAGCACTTACGTAGTATTTGTTCAATTAAGTCATTCCAAATGTTCTCTTTGCTCTTTTAACATTATCTTGAGCTTTGAAAAGTTATGAAAATCATTTCGTTCTCTTGGTCTTGGTTTTAAGTATGCAGGTTGGTATATGGAATATGTTACTGCTAAGTTCCCCAAACAAATTTACAACACCTCACAGTGCATTGCTTTGTCCGAGCAGCTCCACAATTTGGACGGAAGGCAGTCTATGTGTTGGCACCAGCTACAATACTTGTTCGCATTTATTCCACGAATAACTGCTAAATAGACTCCTGCAAGCCTGCATTTCAAGAAAATGCTTTAAAGTTTGAAATAAAATAAAATATTCACCTCCAAGTGAACTAGACCTTAAATGAAGTGACTGAATAAAAGAAACTCACACGAATATGAACATGACAAGAGAAGCACCCCTGAGAAATGGTCTGTCCAACTTCTGCTTCAATTTAACTTTATGTTTGAGATCATACTCAAACAGACCTCCTTTCTCTTGAGCCCTTGTGCTTAGTTGAGGCTCAAATAGTAACACAAACCCAATGAGGAATCCTGATATGAATCCTCCAACATTGGAAAAGTTGTTGATGTATGGTAGCAGTCCGAGGATTAGATTAACAGCCAAGATCACCAAAAAGATAAGGACAGCTCCAAGCTGATATCAATCAAGGGAAAAATCACATTTCTATCCATAAAGAAACTAGGAAAGCGAAATCTTGAGGAGATGAGCAAAAAAGGGTAAACCTTTCTAGTGTAAATTTTACAGTTTCTAATGAGCCCAGACAGCATCATACCAAGCAATCCAAATAAGGCTCCAGACGATGTTACCGATGTTTGATCAGTAACAAAAAGTGCAGCCACTAAACTAGCAGTAATTGCAGAGAGTATGTATACAACTCCAGTCCTTACTGCAGAACATGATAAGAATGCGACAAACATCAAAACCACCTAGCAGTAATAGCATGTACGTAGGTAATAAAAATACTACCTCTATCCCAAATAAAGTCACATTGTCAGCAAGATACCACTACTAATTTTAGTAAAGTACAACTATTGGTAATCATCAATTGTGGCTACATTTTTAAATTTATTTGTTCATTTACCATAATTAAATTGTATGGGACACTTGATTTTGTACAAAATACATTAAATGTAATACTCCCTCCGTCCCGTTAGAAGGTTCCCACTTTCCATTTTTGGACGTCCCGTTAGAAGGTTCCCATTTCCATTTTAGAAAACAATTAACAATCTTAAGTGACAAATTAGTCATTAAATATTACAAATAATACATTTATAACATCACAGTTATCAATACTAACACATTATAATATATACCTATTAAAATAATTTCTCAAAATATACCCGAAGTACTTTATTTAATTATCACCTAAATAACCGTGCCGTTTTGCTATGGGAACCTTCTAGCGGGACGGAGGTAGCAGAAGTTAGTTTCTTTTGGTCAAGTAGGACAGAGTGGCCAAAATATGTTTACATAGAGGACTCTCTTTTCTTGGACAGTGAGAGTTATAGGGTAGGAATGATTACGTGATCCAAACTCATGCTCCATGTGAATCCCAACGAAGACTACACTGCACAAGTTTAAGATGAGGTGGAAAAGCCCTGCATGCAACAACGGGCTTGTGAAAACACGCCAGAATTGGTGATGATCAATTAATAGCGTCTGCCTAAGAGCCCCAACTTTATCCAGTCTGCAAAGAACGAAAAAAAGTGATTATATGTCAAGCACATAAGAAAAAGTCAATGCAGTTTGTTAATTATCTGATGATAACTTGGACTGCGGTGATGTAAGATGCTTTGTACAACTGTACAAGTATGCTACAAGGTTAGCACTTCGCTGGCCTGCATTTCAGCAACACTACTAGCACTTCGCTGGCCTGCTAATCCAACGAACAGAGAAACGAACTTTATAGAATGTTCTAGAAATGAATCAATTCAGAGTTCTTTCCCTCCTCACTAGTGGGCTAGTGGCCCTATATGTACACAGAATCTTAAGCCCATTATTAACCAAACAAGAATTCATATAGTTTCATCAAGAATCACATACATTCATATAGAAATTCGATCAAAAGGCATTATTTATAAATTTCAAAGGACGTGAAACCAACATGAGTTAGATGCATGTAAATATTGAAACCTTGATGTGAGAAAATATCACAATTACTCAAGGTCTGAAGTTACAGCAGTTCAATTGTAAAAAATCTGCTTTAAACTTGATTAAGATCTTGAAGATGAATTTAATCGAACACATGGTAAGTAAGAACTTTAGTTCAAGGAAATGTTGCAATAAATCACTTACGCAGAGGCGGAGGGGCCCAGCAAGGGGTTTTCGCGGAGGGGCTGAAAGGACAACCTTCTGAGGAACTTAATGGAGCACTGCCCCCGAGAGTTGTGCCAGCAGTCGTTGACAATCATGGTGGCTGTGAAGAAAATGAGGTGGACGATCACGAACAGAGAGATGATCCACGCATTCTCGCTCCTCTGCGATAGCGGCCTAAAGAAAGGGAAAACGACTCTCTTCTCTTCCGTAAAATCCCGCCCGTTGATGGACAACCGTGGCGCCACCAGCGGCGGAGGAGGAGACGGCGCTGAGAAGCGCTTGATGTTTACCTTGGTTTCGTGTTTCGTAGAGTCCTCCTCCGCCGGCATTGCTGTTATCAGATACTCCGTAATAGTTTTATGGAGAGACGGTGAGAGAGTTAATTTCTAGAGCTAGAGTTGAGCCGCAATGGCGGAGTGGTGGAATCTTGAAGGCCGGGGTGTGGCCGGAAAATTTGTTATTTTTGGAGCCAAGTAACAGCCTGTGTTTCTTTTTACGGAAATTGTAGTAAATGGGACTAATAAGTTCCTGAAAGACACAGATTACTATTTTTAAAATTTCCTAAATAGGACTAACATTTTTCTACCCTAAATACCCCTAAATGTATTAATTCATAATGAAATGCTTTAATTCATAATAAAATCATAAAAAATGTAAAAAATATTTAAAAAACGTAAAAAAAATTATAAAAAATTTATAAAACATTTATAAAATAAAAAATTTAATTTTTTATTTTTTTAATTTTTTTAAAAAAATAATAAAAAATAGTAAAAACCCATAAAAAATGAAAAAAATTATGGATACCTTTCTCACCACCTCCCGCCGCCTCCCAGCACCACCACCTCCGATTGGTGAAATTTCTTCCACTTTTGATAAAAAAATGCCATATTTTTCTGAAAATGCCAAAAAGATGGCATAATTACTCTTCAATATGCCAACATTTTCATTGAATATGCCATCATTATGGCATTATTTAAAATGTTGGCATATTTTTCTCCGGTGATGGGAGATGGTGGTGCTGGGGGTGGCAGGGGTGGTAATGTTTTTTTTTTAATTTTATGATATTTTTTTTTTAAAAAATATTTTTTTTATTTTTTTTTTTAAAATATTTTTTTAATTTTCTATTATTGTTTTACGATTTTTAGTATTTTTTTCGATTTTTATTAATTTTTTTATGATTTTATTATTAATTAAAACATTTCACAAGTTACAAGGGTATATTTGTCCAAACACATATAAATAGTCCTATTAAGGGAATTTAAAAAATGTAGTCCTATTTGTGCAATTTTGCCACTTTTTAGTCCTATTTAGGGAATTGACTCTTCTTTTTAAAATCATCTGAATCGAGCAGATGAGGACCCGGGCACTGGACAAAAATGAAACTGATTTTCAAAAATATTTCGTAAATGAATTATGAAGTGGACAAAAATGAAACTGATTTTCAAAAATATTTCAAAAATGAATTGATGAACAGAAATAGTGACAAAAAACTAAAAGATTATACTTCGTAATATGAAAAGAAAATTTAAAAATATTTACAATAAGAAATAGGTGACAAAAACTAGAGATAATATGATACGAAATTAAATTAGTTATGAAGTGTATTCTCATACTATCTACTCTCTCCGTCCTCTTTTAAATGTCCCGTTTTACCATATTGGGATGTCCCTATTTAATTGTCTCATACCTTATCTGGTAAAGTTTGTGTGGCTCAAAATCATTCTTACTTTATTCTTACTTCATCAATTAATATCAACCACACAAACTCACTTTTCTTAAAACTCGTGTCACCCTCTTCTGGAACATTTAAAAGGGGACGGAGGGAGTATATTTCAGAGGTATCAACATTCACTGACAAAAGCACCCAAGAAACACAAGTCCAAGACTACCGTCGAGGCCGAGGCCGCACCCTCCGAGGCCGGACCCCAAATCAATTCTCGGATCTATCAAGAAAAGTCCAAAACTGCAGCCGAGCCCACGTCCGCCGAGGTCGATTTCCAAATCAGTCCTCAGATTGTCAGGATAAGTCTAAAACTGTAACTGAGCCCAAGCTCACTACCCATTGGATCAACGCGAAAGTCTGCGCTATTACCGAGCTTGAAGTCAATTAAGCGCCCCAAGAAGTCAAAGAACTAAAAGGAGCATTAATCACTTCGCATGAGCAAAATGAGGTTACCTCCTCTTAATACACTGCCCTCGAGCCTAACTCCGCGGAGCCCGTGGCCTCGTGGAAGATTATGGACTTCACTATTTTCAATATTCAAGTACCACATAAGTAAATTGAGGCCATCCTCCTCTTAAATCAATACACTGTCCCTGATCCCAATTCCGCACAGCTCATGGCCTCAGGAAAGATTATAGAATTGGCTATTTTCAGTAATCAAATTCCGCACCAGCATCTACGACTAAGTCATCAACGTGACAGCTGTCTAGGGCATACGTCACCCTGGCGGTGTTACACACAGAAGATTCTAGGCTTACACATGTTGCTTTCTTACACAGTTCAATACTAAGGGAATCAAATCTGTTAGGCGTCGTACAAATCAGTCAGATGTCCACATTTTCTTACCAATCATGCTTTACATGTGTCACTGTATTGTTAGATTAGCATCCTTTTTACTTGGTGCCCAATTATTTCATTTACACTATAAATATGACCTTCCAACTTGTGGAAAGGGGTCGCATTTTTGCGCTTTAGCTTAATGTTACTTTGCCAAATTTTCTACTCAATTTACACTTAGCACTTTTCAGTCTCTCCTCTATGGTTTTTCGCCTACTCCAGGGTCGGATTTTTATCATTTGGTTCTTTTATTGAGAGTTGAATAGTGAATCAAGTTTAGATCCTCTCCTACAACATGCTTTTCTCACATCAAAAAATGGTGAGACGTGCAAAAAAAACAGACGTGCTGCAACTCTGGTCGCTTAGCCGGAGACTGTGGAGAACACAGCGACCTCTGGTGTCTGGAGGGCCGCAAAGGGGACATAGGTGGCCTCTAGCCGTCATGCCCCAGTCCGCATCTAAACGCATGTACATTCGCCGCACAATCAAGTGATGTCACCCGCAGGCCTCAAGTCAACATCCCTCAATTATACAAGGCGTCCATGAACATATTCATACCATACGCAGTAAGTAAACATACATAACACCATCACATTTAAACCAATGAATAATGGAAATATTCAACGGTAAATCATAGGTCACATCCAGCCAACACATGGGCTCGCAGGCCCAAAACAATTTCTAGAAATCCAAATATTCATGAGCAATGTTTATAGTTTTGAAATAATAAGGAATCACAAACCACATCTTCCTTGATGAGACTTTACTCGATTTTAAAGGTGCATGTAGCAAGCTCTAACTTCAACCTTAAAATGGTAGGGGCTCTAGAGGGGTCAGTACACTTGTACTGGCGAGAAGCAGGCTAAATGTAGAATAACTAGCTTTTCAAGTATAAGACCCAACCATATGTTTATATTTTCCCCCAAGTATTGAAATACATATAAGTATATACACTTGGAAAATACTCGGCCCGTGTGCCATTGTTTGCCTATGAAAATAATAGTAGTCATAGTCCTTGATTTAAAATCTCAAACTCACCCAAATACCTATGAGTGTATATGACTCATCCTTGTCCTTTTTTTACTCCAGGGGGCATCTGGGGGAGGGGGGATTTGGGGGCCTGGAGTAATTGGGGCTGAAACTCACTCCATTGAGTTTCAAACCCGAGACCTCCCGTAATTCCGTAAAGGAGAGTGAGTCGACGACCAGCTGGGCTGGAGCGCTTCCTCAAAAAGTCACTGGCGTGAGACTCATCCTTGTCCAATCAAGCATTTTAAGGACACCATCCAATTCTAATTTACTAAACTATAGTCTATGAGTTTTGAGGATAGTCCAGTCCCTGTGTACTTTACCACTTATATTCCGAGTTTTGAGTGCAGTCCAGTCCCTGGGTACTCCACCAATTATATACGGACTTTTCAAGACAATCCAGTCCATGTGTACTCCACCTATTATATTCCGAGTTTTGATGAAAGTCCAGTCCCTGGGTACACCAATTATATTCCGAGTTTTGAGAATAGTCCAGTCCCTGGTACTCCATCAATTATATACCGAGTTTTGAGGACGGTCCAGTCATTGGGTACTCCACCATTTTGTATGATCTATAACATGTCATACTTAAATAGGTTGTATATCATAATCAATAATCAAAGTTAAACCAAGCCCTAAGCCTAAGCACAACAATCCATGCAACACTAAATCAAGTTTAAGCAAAACAGGGCCAAACTGGTGTCAGTTCAGCCTATAACCGGCGCCGGTTCAGCCTATACCGGCGCCGGTTCCCATTTAATTTAATTAAATGGGTTGCCCCGAACTCAAACCGGCGCCGATTCTAGCCATAACCGGCGCTGGTTGCCTGTACGTCTTGCAACCGGTCAACGCCTCTTTGACCAGTAATTTCGAATCTAATTTTAATGAAACTTAATCTCAACATGTATTTAGTCATATCCAAACAATATATATCGTTTTGGCTATTCAAAACATCACATGTGTTTTTATATGCATTTTATATCATTTACATACATATTTCAACAGGTTAATTCATACAAGCTTACTCACCTAGGCTAATCACGTGTTTAAACTCTTTTAAACATCATTATGAACACATATAAATTCTACTTAGGTAATCTCATACTTAAACAAAGACTTATAAGAGATTATATTAAGTCGTCAAATCACCTTGAATGAGTTTTAAGAAATTCTACCCTCTTCGGTTGAACTCCGGTAAAACTCCGGCAAACTTCGTTGAACTCCGATGATACCTATGGCAACTATCTCAACTCTGTGAGAACACTAACCTTAGACAAGTTCCTAACAAGGTTTTAACATCCCAAAATCCATATTAATACAAATGACCTCTAAAAGGTTATTTTTCGGCGAACCGGTCACTTTGGTTTCTAAGTTCGTTCTTGGACTTAGAACCACCTTCCAACCCCTCACTCTACACTTCTAAACATGTAGAGCAATCTTAGGGGGTCATTCATATGACTATTTACTTATTTAGTCATGTAACATTTAATTACGGAAAAAATGAGGTTAAAGAAATTATTACCTTAATTCTTAGGTTTTACTCCTCTTTCTCTTACTCTTCTTTCTCCCTTAAACCTTCCCTTACTTGAGTATGTTCTTGGATATGGAGGAAATGTTTTGCAGGGGTTATCCACCCACTTTTGTGAGAGTCTTGGCCGAAATGATATATGGAAAGGGGTAGGGAGGCTCCTTCGATTCCTTGTCTTACCTAGCATAATAATGTGAGAGATCAAGGACCCTTTATGAGACTTTCCTTGTCTCCCCAATCACCTCTTGCACTCCCCCATCCCCCATGTTGTCAATCAGCCACATTGGATGCTATTATTTCGTGGGGTGGCCCCCACTCATGTGGGAGGTCATCCCAAAATGTCTTAAAGTGTACAGTACTTAGCCCCGAAAGTTGTATTTCTCGGATTGTTTAAAT